TCTTGTACTTTGCCGCCGACCTCACGTACATCATCCTGCCTCTGAACGGGCCTGGCTCGTACATCAGCCAGTTGCCCTCCATCACATTGGCCAGGGACCATTGCAGTTGGACATTGCGGAAAACGCGCCATGACGTTGTTCACCAGTCCTCCATCAGCTCGGACATCTGACCTCCGAAGTTCCTCCTTCTCCGTAGAATCTCTCTTCATCCTGCGCGTACCAGATCCTGCTCTGTGGTGCAAAAGAGGGGTTGGGTTTCAACTCAGAGCATTTCATATCTTTCAGCATGATCTATCTGGAGATTGGTCTACAGTAAATTAGCCAGGTGTGAGATCTTACCATTTGATCATGCGGCAGGACTTGATGCAGTCGCTCATGCCCATCATGCTCATGTAGTCGGCGTACTCGCCCCTCCTCATGAAGTACTGGTTTCCCATGTAGTTGGTGCGGTCGTACACCATGAAGCAGCCCTTCTCCACCCTGCAGGAGTGGCACCTGTTCAGGTAGGAGGACATGTCGGAGCAGTCGCTCATGCACTCATAGGAGCGACCCTGGAAGTTCTTCTCCTCGTAGAAGGTGATCTGAGAGAGGGAGTCTCTGGTTAGCATCATGTGTTTAGGTTGAAAGCTGTACATGTCTAATATAGGAAAACATGAAACACGTTCAATGTGAATCAAGCTTTCTTTGGATGCATTGCTGTTAAGGATAACCCTTAGTATAGCTGCAAAAACTGATGTTTTGTCCAGCAGCAGAAACAAGCTCCAACACAACACATTATTTGAACATGCAGAAGGCATGGAGCAACATCAGTATTTATTTGGAGCTGTGTTTATGACCACTTGATGATTGTCTAGATAATACATTTATTGTGTCTATTCTTTAGCTAAATGCTTGAATCATAACCTGCTTAATACTTCGATAAAGTCACAAACTAACGTTTTTTGAATGCCCTTTAGTGCTGGGCAGGTTGTGTTTTTACAGTTAAACAGCTGCCTGTTGCGACCCAAATG